AGTCAGGGAGTGTGATACCTCCAGCTTTGTTCTTTTTTCTCAGGATTCCTTTAGCTATTCGGGGTCTTTTGTTGTTCCATATAAATTTTAGAATTCTTTGTTCTATTTCTGTGAAAAATGTTGTTGGGCTTCCTCTACTTTTGTTCTTATGAAGAACATAACCTGAAATTGAATATATATTCTTTTATATTTTCTTCCATATTTATTATTATTCATTTTTATACACAACTATAATCCTTCTGAAATTTATTTTTGTTTTCTATTGGGAGGTAAAGATTTAACTTTCTTTTTGATAATAAATAACTGATAGTCTCATAACTAATTATTGACTAATTCTCTCCTCACTGATTTAAAATGTCAATTTTATTGTATGCTATGTTAGATCTATTTGTTCTAGTTTTTGAAATGCTCAGTTTTTACATTATTACTTTTTGATCTCCTGTCTTGAAAATTCTAGAGAATTTTAGAAAATTCTAGTCGATTCTATTCATTGCTTTTGTGTATTTAATTTTGCCAAATGTAACACTTTGCTATCTATTTAACTAAACACATGATTTTCTATTTTTGACCTAATTATTTAATATAATTTCTAATATTTATCAAAACTTTAATACTGGAGTAAACAAAACTTATTCATAGTATAGTATTTTATTATGAAAGCCTAGTTATTGTTTACTAGTATTTTCTTTCTTAATTTAGCACCTTTGTAGTTGAGTTTTATTTATTTTATGTGTGTGTGTTTTAGTATCATCAGGTTTTTATATCCTGGTTATACAAGAGAAGACATTTAAAGCATCCTGTCTTTTTCTGTGCTCCGGATCTGTGGTCTCTCTACACACTGGATTGCAAGCTCCCTGAGGACAGGGACCATGGTTTTCTTGCCCACCACTTTATTCTTAAGTGCCTAGCAGCCTAGCAGCACATAGTAGGTAACAGTGGATGAATCAATTTACTGAGCTTGTACTTTATCGGTTATTTGAAAGATTAAAAACATTCATAGTTAAAATTCTTCTGAGTTAAGAGCCTTTTAAAGGCAGAAATTCTATGATAATTTTTTAAAAGAATTTGTCTAACAATTTGTCTAACAATATGATCATTTTTCCCCAGAAAATATTCTATTTAATTCAAATTTTAAAATGTTTTAGTGTAGATTTGTAAATAGTATTATCTTATAAATATAGAAACATTTCACCTGATTTCTAAAATTTACCTTTATTTACTATAGTTCATAGTATTCAAGAAGAATATTTTTATTCCTACAACCCAGCTGCATTTTTCCTCTTCTTTTGTTTCATAATTGGCATCTGATTGTTTTTGTGTTCACCATTTAATGAAAAGAGTCATATTTGCCAATCATCAAATACATTGATTCTTCTTGTTCTACCTCACTAATACCTAGTTGCTGTTAGAATTTTTCTTCCAGGCCTAAATTAAAAGGTTCTTTGCTATTTAGTCATTAATCTAATGAGCTATGCTGGACTGGGACTCCTGCTTTCATTGCCTGGTCAGCTATTTCATTGTGTGGATAGGAATTAATTTTAGAATAATTTGAAGCAATTGTGAAAACTGTAGCCCAGAGAGTATGCTTTTTTCCCTTCGTTATTCTTGCTTTCCTCTGCCTCTGATACTGCCTTCTTTCTGGGGTATAGTTCATTATTTCCAGTCCAGTTTTGTCATGGGATCTGTTGATTATTGGATTTGTAGTCCCAGTCGTAGCAATGGTGGGCAACAGAGAATGGCTTTGAGTTGCTTAGAAAACTGTTCCTACTCATTAAAACAATGGCTTCTTTTGCTTTACTCAGTGATGGTACAATGTCTCTGAGGTAAGAATATGCATTAAGGTTGATGGATATAATTTATTATCTTCTCCTAAATGATTCTGCTTAATGGCTCCATCTAACCTTTAGTTATTACCAATTCCCTCTGGATTCAGGCAGATGCATGGCCATTTATCCTGATTTTCAGTGCTTTGGTGCCTTTGTTTTTTTTCTTAGTTTTTAATATATTTCTGTGGGAAAATTGGAGAAGAAAAATGAGGACCTTCGAGCTAGCCAAGATTTTAACCTGAACCTCATCAGGAAATTATTTTTTTCAATTGACAGAAATTTTCTTGGTGATCTGTAAGTAGCCCTATTATATAAGTATATACATATATAACATCAATAAGGCATATATATGTTTTGCATGTACACTTTTTAATGATAAATCATGATGGGAAAATTATTTATAATTTTTAATATAAACCCACTTAGGGACAGAGGACAAACATTTGGTTTGAAATAAATTCAAGATGTACATAAGATTAATTAAAATATAAATTCTAATGTAATATAATCTGAATTATACTTCTGATCCCCTAAATTTTAGAGATCCCTTGATAGTAGAGAAAAATTTAATTTTAATTTAGGAAAATATGGAAATTATAAGTAATTTTATTAAATGCACTTTTTATGTCATTACAAACATTTCACTAGAAGAAAGATCATAGGAGCAGGGTATGATAATGGCTTTTCTTTCCATGCTAACTGTAGAACTTTGAGCATCTAGTTACTCACCGACATACTCAGGATATTATGATGATACTTATCCTAGTGGACATTTGCTGCTTTTGTCTGTCTTTCACTTCTTTTACCTTTCTTATGGCAACAGAGCCCCTTTTCTTGAATAAATGTGCAACTGATCTGTGCCTGGTCAGAGTACTACCATCCCTGGGCCAGAGCAGTTGATGCAGGGATGACCAAATGACTCAGAAGCACCTATCCGACACTACCCTGGGAATTTCCTACCTAAGATATTAAGGAATACGGCCTATTTTCGCTGGCTAATAGATAAACCGAGGTGTAAATGTGACTAATATGCTGAGCAAGCACGATGTGTAGATTTTGTCTTTTACCAGTCCTTTAACTGTTAATCAGGGGCAATATTTCCTTACCCTTGGTTAAAAACTCAAGCAGGCTCATGACTTTTCTGCCCACCTTTGGGAAACAGACACAGTGCTATACTATAGTCACTGCATCCTGAAACAAGTCTCAAATAAGAAATTAAAATATCCCAGTTCCATTTATAATCCTCAAACTGTGAAATTCACTTGGTTGCCATTGTTTTTCCTTCCTTTCTCCAGCTTGAACCTGCAGTGTGAAAGAGATCACAGTGTGGTTGATGTCTCTTTTCATTTGATTTGAGTTTCTTTTTCCCTCTCCTGCCTCATCTTCTAGCTGTGGTTTTGGACTTCCCAGGGATGGGAAATATGGAGAAGGAGAAGAGGTTGAATTGAACAGTTCTTACCTGAACTGGATAATAAGTTGGCTTTGAGCACCCTGGGCTGACAGATGTATAAAATTGAATCTCATGTACACTTTTGTGGATCTAGGAGTTCTCTCTTGAACTTATCTCTCTTTGTTTTTTTCATCCAGGCAGATACCTGTCTATTTTGGGTGGACCACTGATTCTCTTTCTACAGCCACTGGGTAACCTCTAGACTTTCTGCTGATGTCCTGTTGCCATTCTGGGTGGTTCCATTAGATAGGACTCAACACAACTTCAATCCCGTTTTTCCTCTCTTCTAACACAAACCTGATTTATGAGAAAAACTCAGGCATTTCTAGCCCCTTCGCAGTCTGGCAGTATAGGCAAATCCCAATATCCTAGGCAGAAGCCTAATTAGTTCGGGGAAAGCATTTCACAAATCTCTGAGGGTTTTTTAATGTTCCCTTTCTAGACTTGTTAAAAGGATGCACCCTACCCACCCCACCCAAATGGGTGGCGTGGGGATTTATGGCACAGGGATAACTTTTTCCACCAATTTTCTCTTCTCCCCTCTGTGATGCCGTCTAGGATCCTTGATCTGGGTGGTGAATCCAAGAGTCGTGGAACAAGTTTTTCATCATTACTCTTGCAAATTCTTCATATCTACAATATAGTGCCAGGAAGAGCCTCCTCCCCTTCCCCCCACTTTATGTAATCTGGGCTGCTAAGGAGAAAGAGAGAACATGATATCGTAAAATGCTTGGAGGTACTGGTTCTTTTTTTTTTCCCCCCACCACTGAAAACATTGTTATTTATTTTTAATTATACAAGTAATTCATAAATGTGCAAATACATGCTTGTTAAAAATTTTTAATTACATGTAAATTAATTACGTGTAAGTCCCCCTTGAACATAATTCCCTCCCCTATCCTCAAACTTTCACTATAGTTAATCACTGTTATCCCTTTTGCAAGCATACTTCCAGATTTCTTTTACATATAACATTGTTTTATATCTTTTTCTCTTTTTAAACAACTGGTTTAATACTCTGTGTATTGCTGGGTGATTTGTTTTATTCCCTCAACAATATGTCTTATCACATCAGAAGATCCATCTCATTCTTCTATACTCGAAGTCTGTATGGTATTTCACAGTATAAGCATACAGCTTATTTCAACTGTCCTCTACTGATGAACAGTTGGATTCTTTCCAATTTCTTGCCATTGCAAACAATACTAGAATGGAAAACAGCCTTTATCATTTCTCTACAGTAGATGCTTCAAAGTGCAATTTCTGGGTCATGGAGCAGGAATACCTTCAGTTTTGCTAGATACTGGCAATGATGTCCTCTGAAAGGCTGCACCAAACTGGATTCGCATTTGTAATGGAAGAGCTCCTGTGTTCCCCGACTCTCACTCACTCTCGATATTACTGAATTTTTATTTTGCCAATTTAGTAAGGGAAAGAGGTCCCTTATATTTCTCATTTTCATTTATCTGATTGCAGTGTGATTAAGCATATTTTCATATTCATATTAAGCATACTTCCATATGTTTATTAACTAATTATATTTCCTCTTCAGGAACTGCCTAGTCACGTCCTTTGACTAATTTTGTAATGGACCATTGTTCTCTTTCTTATTAATTGGGAGGAGTTATTTCCATGTCATAGATAATAATCCTGTTATATGTTGCATATTTTCTCCCAGATGGGAGGCACTGGTTCTGCAGCAGCAGCAGCAGCTGATCTTACCATTGCTGCTGTTACTGCTGCTGCCACATTGCAGTAGCTGATGCACATTTTCAGAATATGTGTATCAAATTGTGGGCAAAATCAATACATTGAAAATCTCAGTGAAGTTATTCAGTAAATCTTCCTTTCTGTTGGAAGCAAAACGAGAAATATATACATAACTGTTTTCTGTGTGTGTGAGGAAGATCAGCCCTGAGCTAACATCCATGCCAATCCTCCTCTTTTTGCTGAGGAAGACTGGCCCTGGGCTAACATCCGTGCCCGTCTTCCTCCACTTTACATGGGATGCCGCCACAGCATGGCTTGACAAGCAGTCCGTCAGTGTGCGCCCGGGATCCGAACCTGTGAACCCTGGGCTGCCAAAGCAGAGCGCGCGCACTTAACCGCTGTGCCACTGGGCCAGCCCCAGATCCATAACTTTTTTTGCTGTAAATTCTTCTTTGTTTTGTTCTTATTATTTTATTATGTAGAAGGGAGATAACTACTTTTCTGTCTCATTATTTGTGACATTAATTTTAGCCCATAAGTGCTAGTACTCTTGAAATTTAATTTTAAAAGTTGCAAAACAGTTTCTTCTTTCTCTTACAACTATCTTTGTAAACTACACTTCTGGAACAATAGGCATAACAGAAAGAATGGAATCATCTGATAAAATGGAAGTACCTAAAAACATGTATTTTCAAAGGTGAAAGACAAAATGATATAAAGACTTTTAAAGTGAAATAAATTGTCACAATCTTTATTTAATCATTCATTTGGACTCAATATTGCATTATAAATAATACAATAGTAAATTATGATTTAAAGAATGTTTCACAAAAATTGCTGTGCTAGAAATAAAACCAGCCAGTGAACGAATCAAACATGTATTATATCTAATCAGTCCTCTTGTTGAAGCACATCTGTAAGAGAAAATTACCCCCGAGTTTGTATGTATCTCTGAACTTGACTTATGTTTTTATGTGTTTTTGCTTTTTCCTAATAAAATGTTTTTTTATTTTCTCTATTTTGGGCACAGTTAAGGTCCCTGATAGAGAGTTCCACTTACAGCATTTGCAGAAAATGTGCAGCCCTAGATAGCAGGGCTCCTAAGTGCTCGCTGTTGATATTCATATTCATTAAGGGTATCAGTTAAGAATTAAAATAACGTAAACAAAACTTACTTAAAAAGAAGGATATTTAACAGTCTTTGTTTAGAGAGTAGTGTCCATCTTGAAAGCATCGCTGCCCTTAAGAACACATACCATGGTGCAGTCAAAGGTCACGCACTAAGGTCACAAACTCAGAATACCGTAATGCCTCACATGGTGAGAAGAGCAAACATTTACAAATAGACATCATAAATGTTCTGTATTCTAGAAGGTCTTAGACCATTTGCAATTATTCTCAAGAAGGTGAATAAAGCCTAGCTGCTGCTTAAAAGTAATTTGTGTTTCAGTTCTTATCTAGGAATGAAAATTAGATCTAAAAATTCCATAGCAGGAGGCTTTATGACACATATAAAACTCACAGCAATGACACTGCCATGGCTTTGAACCAGTTTTTCAAATGATTCTTTGTGGAATATTTTGAGATGAAATTGAGGAACTTGTACTGGGGTCTTTCTTTCCTTCCTTCCTTCCTTCCTTCCTCCCTTCCTTTCTTCCTTCTTTCTTTTCTTTCTTCTTTCTTTCTTCTTTTCTTTCTTTCTTTCTTCCTTCCTTCCTTTCTTTCTTTTTCTTTTTCTTTCTTTCTTTCTTTGTTTCTTTGTTTGTTTGTTTGTTTCTTTCTTTCTTTCCTTCCTTCCTTCCTTCCTTCTTTCTTTCTTTCTTTTCTTTTCTTTCTTTCTCTCTTTCTCTCCCTCTCTCCCTGTCTCCCTCTCTCCCTGTCTCCCTCTCTCCCTGTCTCCCTCTCTCCCTCCCTTCCTCCCTTCCTCCCTTCCTTCCTTCCTTCCTTCCTTCCTTCTCTCTCTCTCTTTCTTTCTTTCTTTTCTTTCTTTTAACATGGAATTCAGCTTTATTTTTTTTGTAATAATAAATATAAAATTGAAGTCCCTGATTTGCCTCTGATAAATGTCTGAATTAGCTAATAGACATTGAAGTTTATACATACAATGTCTGATTACAGTGTAGGAATCACAGTGATTCTATTTACACATACTGTGATTAATTTTCATATTATCATATTACCAGTAATTTACTGTGAAAAAACAATACCTCTATACAGCACTTCCAAATCATTGCTCATTTCCAAAATATTAATTTGTCAACAATAAGTGGCAACATTTTATTGAATAAAAAAGGTGCAGATCTTGAAATCATGAATTGGGTCTTAGTCCCAGGTCCACCCGTTAGTATTTTTGCAACTTTGGACAACTAGCATTACATAAGCTATTTAGGTCTCTGGTATATACCTCTTAAAATGTTTCATGGAGACATGTAAATTGAATGAGATAGTGTGTGTATCAAATGCATATAAGCATATTCTAAATTCTAATCTGAACACTTTCAGCACTGTCAATTATCTTGTATATTGAAGTATTACATGTAGATTTTTTTCACTGGGTTGGAAATTTTCTTATGCTTTTGGAAATTCTTTCTTTCTTTTTTTTTTTGTGAGGAAGATCAGGCCTGTGCTAACATCTGCCAGTCCTCCTCTTTTTTCTGAGGAAGCTTGGCTCTGAGCTAACATCCATGCCCATCTTCCTCTACTTTATATGGGACGCCGCCACAGCATGGCTCAACAAGCAGTGCGTCGGTGCGCGCCCAGGATCCGAACCAGGGAACCCCAGGCCGCCGCAGCAGAGCGCGCGCACTTAACTGCTTGAGCCACCGGGCCAGCCCCAGAAATTCTTTATTTTAAAAAGTGTATCTGATATAAAAGTTCACATCCCTGTGCCTCTATCATTAGTAAAATCTGAAAAGGTCATAGAATATTATAGTTTGGAGCTGGAGGATTTATATCTCTGTAGATCAAGAAAGATAGGAAGCAGATGGGTATATTTGTTGAATTAAGTAAATTGCAGATGCATACATCACAGCGTTGAGAGTAGCTCTGATGATTTAGCTCTTCAATGGGTTATTTTCAGGTGCTCCAGGCAGGTACAAGGTTGATATAGGGTCATAGGTCAACTGGAGCAGCTTCAGTGTTTCCCTTTTTTGGAGGTAGCAATATATTCTAAAGTTCTATTTTGTTTATCTTTCCTTAAGAAGAGGAGGGAATAGGAGAGGATATTTGCTGTCTAGGGTAGTTCTTAAAGAATACTATAGAGGTTATCTTGCCTTTGAAATGGAGACGGGAAAGGCACATTAAATATGGTTATGCTCAGATATTTAGTATGTTTGGGGTTAGAATATAAGATAAACCAGAAGTAGTCTTTGCTTGGCAGCCAAACCTGGCCATTAAAATATTTCAGTTCCAAGTATTAATAAATTTGTCTCTGTTGGCATACTAAAGCCTTATTTTTTTTAATGTGTCTTGGGAAAAAAATTAGTCAACTAAACATGAGCATCTACCTTTGGAAAGAACCAGTGAAAATTGGGCTCTTTACTTGTTGATAGCAGAAGGGAAGGGGAGAGCTCTAAGAGGACTGAACTCATTCAGATGGTGTTTTAGCTCTCAGTCGAGTAGTCGTTCAAGAGGAGCATCATTGCCATTCAACACATTTGTTCTGAGAGAGAATGCTCAGACTATGCCTTGGAACTAGGGATTGGAAACCAGGAAACTAAATTTTCAATGCCACTACATCTTTTTTCTTCTTTGTCTTTTAAGTAGCATATTTAAATATCTAGACATATGTTCTCTTTCAAATGCCAATTAAGAGTCTTTAATTCAGTACAACGTGGATGTGGTATAAAAGATTTTTGATATGTCATTTCCCTCTGGCCTATTTCTTCCACAAACTCAGAGGACTTGCAAAATATGGGGCTATCCTTTCAGAATACGGATTACTGGATTATCATTTAGCATATGGAACCACCCTAGAGTAAAACTGAGACCAAAGATCAATATAAGAACATACCCAGAATCACAGCTTCAAGACTGGATCTTTTCTACTATGACAAAGATTTTCCCATGTAAAGTATTCATAAATGGATAGTATCTTTTAAGATTTTTTTTTAAATTGTGGTAACTTAGACATGACATAAAATTTTTCATTTTAACCATTTTTAAGTGTACAATTCTATAGTGTAAAGTACATTCACATTGCTGTGCAACAAGTATCCAGAACTCTTTTCATCTTGCAAAACTGAAACTATATCCAGTAAATAACAACTCAACCATTTCCCCTCCCCTCAGCCCCTGGCAATCAATCACCATTATACTTTCTGTCTCTATGAGTTTGACTACTCAAGGTACTGTGTGTAAGTGGAATCATACAGTATTTGTTTTTTTGTGACTGGCTTATTCACTTAGCATAATACTCTCAAGGTTTATCCATATTGTAGCATGTGTCACAATTTCCTTCTGTTTTAAAGCTGAATAATATTCCATTGTATGCATATAAGACATTTTATTTATCCATTCATCCATCAATGGACACTTGAGTCACTTTCACCTTTTGGCTATTGTGAATAATGCTCTGAACATGTGTCTCTTCAAGACTTCACTTTCAATTCTTTTGGGTATATACCGAGTAGTGGAATTGTTGGATCATATGGTAATTCTATTTTTAATTTTTTGAGAAAGCGCCATACTGTTTTCCATAGTGATTACACATTCTACATTTCTATCAACACTGGTATTCCAGTTTCTCCACATCCTTGCCAACACTTGTTATGTTCTGATTTTTAATAATAGCCATCCTCTTGAGTGTGAGATTTTGATGTGCATTTCCCTAATGATTAGTGATGTTGAGCATCTTTTCATGTGCTTGTTGTTCATTTGTATATCTTCTTTGGAGAAATGTCTATTCAAGTTCTTTGCCCATTTTTAATCAAATTATTTGTTTTCTAGTGTTGAGTTATAGGAGTTCTTTCTTTCTTTCTTTATTTATTTAAATTTTATTTATTTATTTTTTCCCCCAAAGCCCCAGTAGATTGTTGTATGTCATAGCTG